ATATATATATATATATATATATATATATATATATATATATATATATATATATATATATATATATATATATATGAGGACTGTTCGAGACAGGGCACGCCTCAATAATATTTTCAGATGCGCTTTGTTCGAAGAGATAAAATGTAGTTAGACCGCCCAGAAACACATACTACACTTTGATCCCAACTCGATGTCCAGACATTGATGAAAAGCGTAACTCAAGTAGCACTGGTTTCTCGGTCAATGGATGCTGAATGTTTTTGTTATAAGAAACAGTTAATTGTTTCACTTCTAATGCAAGCTATATTGAACTGTAACTAATATATATATACATATATATATATATATATATAAACTTTGAACTTTGTCTATATATATATATATATATATATATATAAAGAATATCTTATATAATTTAGTCAAATTAAGCTGCAGATGCACTAGTGAATTAGAAACAATATTAAATATAAAACTCCAGACATATCAAAACTAACGCACAGAAAAATATGGTTAACACTAGTAATTTATGCAATTGCAGAAATATGAATATATGTCCATTAAATGAAAATTTTAAAACAGAAGCTATAATTCATAAAGCAGAAGTAACAGATATTAATGGCCAAAATAAAATGTACATAGGTTCTACTGAAGGTACTTTCAAATGTAGATGGTACAATTATAGGTCGTTATTTAAGCTAGTAAATCTTAGGTACTCTACCAAACGAGCTGACCAGGTGTAAAATTTAAAAGAAAAAAGACAACAGGGATCTGATTGTAAGGCGGAAAAATCTTTAAAAAGTCAAAGACTTACAACAATCACAACTATGTTTTCAAATTCTGCCAACGGGAAAAAATTTAGCCATTATATTTCCGGAACCCCAAAATCTTTTAAACCAGAAATCCAGAAGTTTTAAGTCCTAGCTTACATATTAGAAAATTTTTCTTAAGGAAATATGAGGCTGGATAAAAAAGTTTAACCCTTCCTCCAATACATTTACAATACACTTGCTTTTCTTCTCTTCCTCCTCCTTCTTCTTCTTTCTTCACACCTCCTCCCACTTTCTATTACATCCAACGTCGTGCATTTGTTTATTTACTTTTGAAAATAACAATATAGCGTTCTTAAAAAAAAGAAAAATAAATAAAGCGTTAAGAGGTCATTTGATAAAAAAATCGCCTGAGGATACCGTAAGGTTGAAACCAAGGTAACGGAATCAATTGACCTCCAGGTTTTTAAAGTTCTACATGTTATTTTTATTTTATTTTTTCACACGTGTATTGAGCACTTTTTAATACCATTAACCTTTTATCATATATATATATATATATATATATATATATATATATAATATAATTGGTGTATACGGAATGAATTCCAATAACCAACAATTACTATTCTTAAAAGAGTGCTCAATACAGAGAAGAAGATATAATTATTTATTTAAAATTATAACATAAATATGTTATAAAATCACTACAAAATAGCCATTTGGTTTCAATTCCCTCCGTTGTCTTATCAAGTGATGATGTTGAATGTCATTCAACATCATCACTTGATAAGACACTGGAGGTGTCTATTTTGTAGTGATTTTATAACATATTTATGTTATAATTTTTAAATAAATAAATTTTAAATAAATAATTATATATATATATATATATATATATATATATATATATATATGTGTGTGTGTGTGTGTGTGTGTGTGTGTGTGTGTGTGTGTGTGTGTGTGTGTGTGCAGGTATGTAGAAAATAGAAAAGAACACGAAAAATAGGAAAGAACATAAATAATCCAGGGTTGTTTAATATTTTTGTTTATATTTAAAAAAAAAAACAGTGCTCCATACATGAGAAGAGCTTTGATTATAATTATTTTTAAAAAAATATGATTCCTTCGCTACAGAAGAGTTCTCATGTTTCAAAAACGACAGCCAAAACCATTAATATAATTATTAAAATTAAATTGAATTAAAGTAACAGGCCCTGTTTCTTCCTCACGCGAAAATTCAGGAATCTGTATCATCGCAATCATATTCTAAAAAATAATATATATATATATATATATATATATATATATATATATATATATATATATATCTCAAAGTGTAGGAGAGCGAACAGTAGGATTAAAGCGTTCAAACACATTAATTTAAAAATAGTGCTCAATACATAAACTAGAACCGTAAATATTTATTTATCTTATGCAGTGTTACAGTAGAACATGCACATATCCACTACAAAATTGTACATTTTTGTTTCAACGTCAAAAAGAGGAAAACCTTTTTTAGACGCCTCATCAGGTGGGGAATCACGATGTTACTAAACAACAGTATTGTGTTAGTAACACCATGGATATGTGCATGTTCTAATGTAACACTGCATAAGGTAAATAAACATTATATATATATATATATATATATATATATATATATATATATATATATATATATGTGTGTGTGTGTGTGTGTGTGTGTTCATTGCTAATGACTTTATTTTTAGAATTTGAAATAAGGAAAGTAAGAGTGTAATAGAGAATATTGGAGAATTTCAGTCTTGAAAAACAAAAAAAAAAAAAACGGGAAAAAATAGAAAAAAGATATATGTTTGCTAGTAATCTTTCCGACATGTTACTAACATGCAACCCACTTCCGGCCATCTGGTGTCAGAGATAAGAAATAGGAACGTCCGTTTGGTTTTTGGCAGATTTCAGGAATGGCACAATCTGAGGTTTATTAGCTTGCATTTGATCTTTGACCAAAAAATCTTAATCAAATCAAATAACGGCCGAGAAATAGCAGCTCACCTGTTCAAAGACATCGTTTCTTGAAGCGTCCGTCCTGGATAAATAATGAGAACATTATCTCGACGCCGATAAAAGGCTCGTACTTGCACCGAATCGTCTAAATTCGAGCAAAGTAGTTATTAATTAATGCTATTTGTATGGCGGGCAATGAACTGGTTTGTAAAAAGAAAAATCTTTGGATTTAAGTTCGCTATTTCTTGAGAATTTTGAGCTACGAGTCGTTCATAAGAGGGCCTGTCAAAATGTAACGGTCCTTCTTGAAAATGGAATACCTGATTTCTTTAATCAGAACAGCTTTAATAGTAGAAGCATAGAATGTATATCAAAATGCCCTGCCAATACAGCATAAATAATGTTTTGATCGTGTTGGAATAAGGGAAAAGATACTACTTGATGTGTGTGATAGAATAAAAGAAAAAGAAAGAAATAAAGAAGATAGAAGCGTAGAGCGAGAATCAGATTAAGCTGATAAGGACAGATACTACACATTGATCCCAACCAAAAGGCCGTGAAACGATGGCGACCGCAAAAAAAGAGAGATTTTTCAGACGTACAGTATGGAACGACGGAATCCGAGTAAGATGCAATCGTCAAAAATCCAGTTACTGTAAATAAAAATATCATCGTCTGCTGAATTATTTTAAAATTATAATTCAGAGAAATTTACGTAATACTGGCTTAGAAAGAAAGAAAAAAACAGGAGGGATGTAAATTTGTAAATACCTCATAAATAATGGACTATTCCGTTTAGATTGCGTAGAAAAACAAAAAAATATACTTGGTTTCAGTGAGAAATTGAAAGAAGGAAAGAAAGAAAGAAAGAGGGGAGTTGAAATGATGGGGAGGAGAGAAGAAAGAAAGAAAGAAAGAAAGAAAGAAAGAAAGAAAGAAAGAAAGAAAGAAAGAAAGAAGACAAAATAGAAGTTTTTAACGTCTGTTTCAGTGAAATGGAAAA